AGATTTCTTGCGAGAGCCAATTTTAACCGCTAAACCATTTGGCACTGAATTGCTTCTCTGAGGCGCCAGTTGTTGACGAGTGTTCTTCGTTGCGACAAACGCGGTGTCATCCAAAGACTTCGATCTTGTCACCTTGTGACGAGACGCCTTTGTAAAGTCTTTGTCATCACTTGTTAATTTTATCTTCCTCTTGGTCGGTTTTTCTTTTTTTTTCTTCTGGACCACGTTCAATCTGCACCGTGACAGTTCGAGTGTCGGGTTGAAATACGTCATTTTTATCGCTTTTTATACACGGACATGACATTCGTCTTTCTTGCGTGACGACCCATTTGAACCGAAGACTGAATTTTCCGTGGTTTTCCGAACTTTAATAGGTCAATTACACTGAATTTCCCGAGGTTTTCCGAACTTTAATAGGTCAATTACAGCCTTCCTGTAACTTCTGTGTCTGTAAAAATAGAGCGCAGGATTCGCGAGAGAGTTAAGCTAATGGATAATTTCTGCCCATCGGAAAACCGAGTTCGCCCGAAAAAAAGGCGAAATGACTAACACAATTGGGTCGCCGGACTCGTTTAATAGAAAATGTAATCGGATTTGCCCCACTAGCGCGCTACTCACGAGTGACAATTATGCGTAATAAGCAAGCGCTATTCAGTAACGTGGAATAACTCAGAAGAATCGACAATTTAACCGATTTTTGTACCTTGATCAACAGCGATCTCTTGCTGGAAGCTGCCGAATGCCTTCTCCTCCCGAAAAGGAAATCACAGGTACACAGTCATCGCGTTGCCCCCAGGAGACCTACCACAGTAAACCACGTGTTGTATGCTATTGGCGGAATGAGTCGTAGGGAGGCCAGTAAAAGTGGGGAGAAGTATGACCCACGAGAGAGAAAATGGAAAACTATCGGTAAATTCCTATTTCTTTGTCTCTTTCTTCCTCCCTACCTTTCTGTCTGTTTGTCTTTTCTTTCTTTGTTTATCCATTTATTCAAAAATAAAACAGGATGTCGCGTTGTTATTAAACGCAGTGAATTAACATTTTGTAGTTTCTTTCTAATAGAAGGTAGCTGTATGGTGATAGGTCAAGAATTCTATAAAAACCTCGTCAGTTTGCAAAGCTCAACATGTATTTCCCTGATCTTCCTCTCTTAGGTGACATGAACATTTGCCGCTGGGGTGCTGCGGTAGGTGCTTTGGGTCCATTTCTTTACATCTGTGGTGGTAGCGATGATGCATCGCGGCTGGAGACTGTGGAAAGGTTCGATCCGTTTTCTAATGTCTGGGTACCGTCTGTCCCCATGTCGTCGAGTCGTAATGGTGTTGGGGTAACGGCAGGAAATGGGAGAATTTACGCTATAGGTGAGTTTTATAGAAGGAGTAGGAGTCCACACACCGGCAGATAGCGCAATGCGTTTAATTAACATTTATCCGTTGGATAGCGATTTATCCTTATGATAGTTTTATCCGTCCTTTGAACAACTGGGCCCTGATTGATAAAGTGAAATAACTAAGAGACTATTCTATAGTAACACAGACGGTACCTGTACACCATATGAATATGATAAGAATCTTGTTAACTGTTGCTTGCTTCGTGCAATCGTTTGCGTCCATTGGAAAGGTGGGAAAAGCAGTGATCTCATGATCAATGCGCTGGGCATCGGGTCAAAAGGTGACTGCTCGAGTGATGGCCTAGTCAGTGCAAGACGCTTTCCTGTTAGAGTACCTCTCTCCACCTGCTGGTGTCAGCAAAGGTCGATACCAGCCAACTTTCAGTGAAACCGGATAAAATGTCGGGGGGTAACTTGCTTTGAACTGCTACTCCATTCAGGGGAGGAGTCGCAATGCCATCCAAACAAGATAATCTGACCAGTTGAACTATTGAGCTTGTAGGCTTGGAAGTTGTCTCTAGGGAAGTGCCGTCGCTGTTTTTCAGTTTTTTTTTTTGTCATCAGATACTTGTTTTCCCAAGCCTGTAACTACCTTCCTTCCTTCCAAGATTGTAAGTATCTTATGAAACTCTCGCACATCATGAAATTTGTCCATTTTCCTGCTTTTTCAGGTGGTTTTGATGGCTCGATGCCGCTGAACACAGCCGAATACTATGACCCCAAGAATGGAAAGTGGATGGAGATTGCTCGTATGAACCAGTGTCGGTTTGGTGTGGGGTGTGCTGTGATGAATGATGTAGTGTATGCTGTTGGAGGCTCAGATGGAACAAATCTTAGAACTGTGGAAAGATATGATCCAGTCACGAACACATGGACAATCGTCGCTTCCATGAGCACAGCAAGGTGGGTTTGATAACTTGGTTCAGCACACTTTATAAAACGGTGTTCATTAAACAAAATACAGAATAGTTCGCCCGGGAACAAATATGACGTATTGAATCGAGTTTTAACTCGTCCAACGGTTCGTTTGCAAACTGAATTTCGCATAAGTAATGGAGACAGGTTAAAAGATTTTACCTCAATGGCCTTCTTATTGATGAGTCGACCTTGTTGGTTTCTTCATCAAAACTAGTCACCGTATCATGCCGCAATTAATTAAAAAAAATGCATGGAAGTAATTTGATGAGTTCACTTATGAAGCAGACAATTTTTTTTATCACGGCAACCCTTTTAATCCCCTAAGAGCGCGACGAACAATACCACATTAGAGCATTGCTCTGTAAGCTCACTCACTGTGAGGGTTTTATGATTAAAGAGTAAGGAACCTTTTTACGGTATAATTAACACTGCTATTGGTAAGTGTTGCCGAGTGGCAATATTTCAATCGTTACATCATGCTGGAATCTACCCCTCGCCGTAACCTTGACTCCCACCCCTCACCCCCCTCCATTCTCGAAGCCGCATCCCAGGAGATACGTTTCAATATTATCGGGTATTTCTTTTAAGACCATGGTTTTGGCAGCACTTGGTTGACCTATAGCGGGTATAACTCCACTAATATGTTCAAGAGCCACTTGTGAGAACATAACAGTACATCTCTTATCTTTTCTGTAGAAAACAAGTAGGCGTGGCTACTCTAGGAGGGTATCTTTACGCCATCGGAGGTTGTGATCACGGCCATAGGTATGACACAGTGGAGAGGTACGATCCTGGTAAGGATGAATGGGTGCCTGTTGCATCAATGAGTACTCCACGGAGTGGATGTGGAGTAGGAGTCCTGGACGGCTTTATTTATGTGGTTGGAGGATACGATGGCACTTCGTATCTTAGTTCAGTTGAAAGGTAAGTCTGTTTGAGGTNTTTTGAACATAGTAAGGAATAGCAGAATGAACAATAACGTTTAAATAGGTTATAGATAGTGCACATCCGTTTGAAACGAACCTTATTGAACAAGTTTCATTGAAACGCAAAGATTATTGTCAGATATTTATCTATGAAATACAGATTTATTTTATAATATTGTACTGAGATGTTGTGTTCTTCCTCCCACCACCTACAGGCAGCGACATTATTGTTGACGCATCCACCTTTTCAATCCCGTCTTACTTCAAGTTTATCTCTTTTGTCCTTGTTAAGTTAAGTTATTCGCTCCCCTGCCCCCATACAAAACAAAGTTGTATAGCGGTTCCATGAATCTTTAGCTACATACAGGCAACAATGAATGGGGGGGGGGGTTCTTGTCAATAATTTAAAGTGTGGTATAAACAGGTGCGTTATTCTGCACATGAATAGAACTATTCAAACATGATGTGTCCACTAATTTTAACACTGGTTGTAGCTCTCAAGGACATTTTATAGTTATGCAAATACTATTACTGCTTCAATTTTGATTTTATTAGTTATGAAATCACACAGAAAGAAAAATGATTTAAGCCCTTTGGAAACGTTGCACAGAAAAGACATCTTGAATATCTTATAGTGTGGTATACTACACTAGCTGAAGAACACAATCACGTTTGATTTCAAAGACATAGTAGATAACTTTACCATCCTTATAGTTTTGAGCGATTTTCAATAGTGTGGTAAAATCAAACCCAAAGCAATCACAGAAGGTCACAGAAGCTAATCAAAGCAAGAAAAATAGTATGAGGAGCCAATGAGAAGTAGAAGTATAAACAAGTAAACTGCCTGAAGCGCGGGAAAACGCGTGTGATGGACCAAGTCGTGATTGGTTTTAGTTTTGAATCTGATTGGTTGAGAAAGTAGTGCACGTTTTCTGGACCAATCACATAGCGAAGTATTGTAAAACCAAAAAAGTCCCGGATTACTTTGGACACTCAATCGACAGTTGCTCTGTCGGGAAATTTCATACTTACCCAGCTGCTGAAAAATCTTCACACCAATCGAGCA